CTGTTAAAATGAAGTAAAATTGTTGAAAGTTTAAAACTTAATAGTATTCCTATAAGTAGAGCCACACTGTGAGACAGAAGACAAATGGCCCCTTATTGCCGTTACTTAAACCGAAAGGGCAGGAGATGTAGACAGTTATCCACATAGTGTGATTTGAAGGGCTTCAAACTGGTTCTGGTTTGTTATTCATGCTGTGCTAGTTGTTCATAATCGGAAGGAAGATTAGGCAATCTACTACTGGGGAGATACTGCCTCGGAAACCAAAGGAGGGGTCGCTATTGCTTTTAGACCCAGGCAAGAGCCTTGGCCTGACCTCTACCCTGTAGAGACCCCACGTTGGCCCTCCAGCCACACCCCTTCTGACAGGGTCAGAAGACCAGATCACAGGAACAGAGACCCTGCTCGGGGTACCTCTGAACAGCCCCAGTCTGCTTCCAGGGCCTGGTGCTCTTCCCAGGATCTGTCCTGGGGAGAGCCGGCTGCCCTGTGTTCCTCCAGGCCTAAGGGGTGGCTGTATGGGGGCAAACAGTGGGCATGGGGTTAGGGAGGACGGGGAGCCTCTCGGCCTTACCGCTGGAGCGGGACTTAGAGGTGTTAAAGAATTCGAAATCCCAAGCTAGCTTTGCAGGTTGTTATGAAGGTATGTTGGTCACAGAAGGAGATGTAACGTATTTGATTTAATGGTTTATTCGTTGGTTTAAACATTTCAAATATTTAGGCTTATGACGTGTGAGCTCCCAACTGAACTCTTGCCAGCGGCCCTGAAGCTTGCAAGTGTTAGAATGTTAATGGCGGCCAGTTGTCTAACACCCTCCCCCAGCTCACTCCCTGTCACACTATGTTATCTGAGCCCAGTGGGGCGCCTGGCTTCTGAAAATGGCTTGTCCTGGTGAGATATCTTGCTAAAGGGCTTGGACTAACCATCTTGCTCCCTGTATTCATCTCCAACTACACCCCCTTTCCCACTGGCCTCTTTCTTTGCTTCCAGCTATTTATATGCATGCAAATCTCCTCTTCAAAACCACTCAGCCCCATACAAACATCCACCTGGAGGCCATCAGCTTGATGGGCACACCCACCTGGAGGCCACGTAGGCTCAATACAGCTCATCTTAAGGCCATTCTGCTTCCCTGACAACCCTCAGGCCTGAGTTATCAATAGTCTACTTGATTACCCTCTCAATGTCATGCACAGACTGAGACAGGCTACAGATCAGGTTTTAATGTGTTTATTTGCTTTGCATACAGCAAAAAAGAGTCAAACTACAAAAAAGCTGGTAACTGGTCAGAATGTGCCTTTATGCATTACAAAGAAAAAAACCCTTAACCTCTTCATTTAACATGTTTTGTTGTTACTTTGGGAAAAACAAAGTTAATGGGAGTTCCAGAGAATAACCCAATAGTGGTCCACTCTGAGGAAAGGGGTGGGGGTAACAGCTACTCTAGAAGGATTACTTGGGTAAAGGGCATCTATAAACAGTTCACTATGGGAATACAAAAGAAGTAAAATCTAATCAACAAAAACCTTAAGAAAAAAGAGATGTTTTGTAAAGAAAATGCAAAGTCCAGCATGTGGTTTACAGTGTCACAGTATACCATCATCAGCAAAATCAAGCATTGAGGGTTGAAAAAAGCACAGGTAGACGTCCAGGGCTGCATTTCTATTTAAGTAGCTCTGAGGTGACAGATGTAGATACAGTGATAACTATACTCAGAAGTCACCTCTGGGTCTCCTAAGAAAATGAGTTAGGTTTATATTACAGGCAGCCCAAGAGAGGTCTCCCTTAGTGTTTGGTGTGGATGGGGGTGGAATAAAGGGGAAGGATATGGAGAGGCAGATCGAACTAACTTCTTATAAACCCAGATGGACACCTAGGGCAACTTGCATCATGGAGATCCAACCACGTAATGAACCGACTCTGTGGTAAAAACGTCTACATGTCTTCACTACTCTGCCTATGAGTTTTTTCATGAAGGTGGTGCTACAAAAGGAAAGGATTTCATGGCAGGATGGTAAGGGAGCAGTTAAACTTGCTGGCCTGCTGGCCCCCTTTCCTCACAGCTGACCATCACCTCATCCTTTTTTGGCTTTCCTCTTTCCAGGGAACCAGGCTGTGTGGTTCCCTGAGGAAGTGGGGGCTGTCCATCCCAGTAACTCTCGAGGTATGTGTCTCTAGGAATGAGGGCAGGAGAGGCTGATGTAATCACTCAAGGCTTCCACTGGGCAGAAAGTCAATTGTTCTATGGCTTTGGGATTACAGTCTTGCTTTGAGCTAAAGCCTTGTGACACAGAGGCTGCTGAGGGGAAGGAACAAGAAGCAGGGCTACATAGTGTTCTCCACCTCCAGGCTGGAGCCAGCCGGCAAGGGAGCTCTCCAGGGACCCAGACTTCCTTCATGGTGGTGAGCTTGCCATCTGTTTGGAAATGGCAAATATAGCTTTTGGCATATACAGAAAGTTGAGTTTCAAGAGAGTCTTAGGCGCTCAAACAACAGGGTATGTATGACAGGCAGGACATTTCTGGGCAATTAGAGAGGGTCTCAGGAACCTGTTTGGCAATAGGCCAAACATGGATGATCTAATGATCTACAAGAGTAAGACCGTAGGGAGGTTCTTACTGCTGCCAGGCCTGGGGCAGGCTTGCGTAAGGCATGAGAGAGAGCTCTGTATGAGTACGTGTCATTATTACCCGAGTTGCAGGCATTGCCCCCTACCCCAGGAATACAGGGAAGGTGTTGTCAAGGGTAGAGGGCTAACTGGGGGACTGGTTGTGCAAAATTTTTCTTAGAGATCCAGAATTTTTACTTCACCACCTCTCCTAGGAACCTTCATAAAACTTGGAGCAGCAACCAAAGAACTGAAGCATTTAACTAGGCTTATGATGCCTAAAAGCCAATCCTTGGGCCTAATTATCTGAATTTTCCCAGTAGAAATACTTTGTTTGATTAAGAGAAATGACAGCCTCTTAGTTGCTCTGACAAAATGGTTTTGTGCTTTCTCCCTTCCAAAGCATATTATTCAAAGTTCAAGATTTTGTAATTCTACAGCAGTGCAGATTGTCCGCATTTTTTATAGAGAAAATGCTGAGTTTTGTGATGCTGGCAGTGACTGTATTGAAGGTTAGGCATTCATGGCATTTATGTCATTCAAATAATTGTAAGCTCTAATTCCCATTTCTATGGCTCTTTTGCTTAATAAAAAATCACCACAGTCAAAAAAACACTACATGGAATTAATGCAGCTCTTGGAAATTATCATTCAAAATGCTGACGCTCAACCCGTGAGCTATTTATTGCATGATCTCTGCTATATTGCTCCATGCTTTGGCTTTTTTCTTGGCCAGGGAGACCCAAATGGGTTCATCTGGCTCTTGGAGCACTGCTGGAAGATTTGCAGATCTTGTGTTTTCTTTAGCTGTGGCAGGCACTTGAACCATCTTCTGATCTTCAACTGGGACCAAGCAAATAACAATACACAAGCAGTAAGAAACCTCAGAGGTACTGGGGTATGTTGTTCATGGGATACAATCACATTTTTCCATCTTTTAGTTTTCTTCTGATCCCCTTGCTCTGAATGCTTTTCAACTCTTGCTCCCTTTCACTGCCAAGCTTCTAGAAGCCAGTGCATGCACAACATCAAAGGCAGTATGGATACATCATAGGGAGGAAATCAGCATGGCTATGACCACAGGAAGGAGCCCTGGTGGCACAATGGCTAAAAGCCCTCAGCTGCAAACCGAAAAGTTTAGCAGTCCTAACCCACCTGGGGCTCCATGGAGAAAAGACATGGGAATATGCTCCTGTAAAGATTACACCCTAGGAAACCCCATGGGGCAGTTTTACTCTGTCCTATAGGATCACCATAGGAGCTCTGGTAGCATAGTGCCTAAGGCACTTGACTGCTAACCAGAAGGCTGGTGGTTCAAACCCACCAGCCACTCCTCAGAAGGAAGGTTGGACAATCCTACTGCCT